CCAAGGCAGTACGCTAACCCACCCAGTTTGCCCCACTCCACTTAGCCGAAGCAGAAAGGAGACAGACCTGCACACAATTGCACCGGGGCGGGGACATTCTGGTGGCAGACCCAAGTTCACGTCCCTGCTGCACATCGGGCCCAGGGGATGAACTGAACACGGGTCAGGCCCACGAGGGCTGATCTAAGCACTAGGCCACACATTATTGGGGGGAGGGGTGTGGAATGCCACCTCCTCCAGCCATTTTGTGTGGCTTTAGGCAAGCTCAGTGCACAGCTACTGGATGGGCTTCGAAGGCGAGAGAGGTGGGGGGAGGCCATGTCTGTGAATCTTGCTGGGGCTTAGGAGAGAGTTAGGCACTGAGCTGCTGGATGGGGGCAGAACTTTCTGCATGCCTGCCCACTGAGAAATGGATGCCTGAGAGACTGTGAAGGGCAGCAAGGTCGGTGCTTAGGGACTGCAGGTGCCCACAGGGTTAGGCAGCTGTCGAGCCTGAGAGACTGTGAAGGGCAGCAAGGTCAGTGCTTAGGGACTGCAGGTGCCCGCAGGGTTAGGCAGCTGTCGAGCGCAGTGCTTATGTGCATACCAGAGGAATATAACTGTTGGGTTCAGGCAGCTGGGCGGCCACTGCTGCCTTCCCAGAGTACCAGACATTCCAGTACTTCACAACGTGCGCTCTTCAAAATGGCTTCCCCGTCTGATATCCAACCAAACTCCACCTGGTTTCACCTCAGTACCAGGGAGAACCAGACATTCCAGTACTTCACAACGTGAGCTCTTCAAAATGGCTTCCCCGTCTAATATCCAACCAAACCACCTGGTTTCACCTCCGTACCAGGGAGCGCAAACCAAAAAAGAGGATGAAGGGCCTGCCTCTACCCCAGTTTTCCTCCTGGTTCTTTGTGTGTTGTGGTCTCCTCACACACAAGTCCAGATCTTTCCATGTCGCCACAGAGCTCCAAGATAACTTCCTTGCTCTTCTCACTGACACTCTTTTTGGGTTGGTCTGGGAGGTGAACTTTAGCTCTTCTCCAGCTGGCACATGAAAAATAGCTGTGCAGCTCTTGTGCCACTGGGAATGGCTCAGGCTAGCTGCTCGAAACCAAGCCTGCCTCATCCCATGGGTTTGAGGCTCATGGGGGTAGCTTGACTGATGCCGGTGCCACAGTGGCCCTGCTGCTATCTGTTAGCACGCTTGCTCAACCAGAGCTAGGTCCAGTGTGTCTACCGAAGCTGGAAGGCACACTTCCTGATTGCTAGCGTAGCCATGGCGATGCATCTCTGACGTGGTCATTATTCAGCAGCCAACAGCCCCAGATGGAGCTGGGAAAGAGCCAATGGAAAATTCTGACATAGAGACACGCTGCCATAGCCAGCCCTAGTAACGTTGTACAGCTGCTCCCACTGCTCCCTAGTAATACTTTAAAGGGAACCCCCAGCTGGCTTGTTCCTCTTTCTTGATCCTGGAGACTTCTAGAAAGTCAAACTGGCCCCCAGCACAAGGTGGAGCAGTCCGGGTACTACCCTGAAGTGAGCCAGCTCCCAGATCACGCCTCTTGGGCCTAATTTCCCTCTCATCCTTAATCTCGATGGGGTGAGGCCTACTCCAAAGGAAAACTCCCAGACACTAGGGCTGTGTCCACACTGGCACGATCTTGCGCAAAAGTGGCCGCTCTTGCTCAAAAACTTGCTGCCTGTCTACACTGCCCACGTGTTCTTGCGCAAGTAAACTGACGTTCTACTGTATGAAATCAGGGCTTCTTGCACCAGAACTCTGACGCTCCCGCTCAGAAATAAGCCCTTTTGTGCACTTGTTCTTGTGCAAGAGGCCAGTACAGACAGGCAACATGAATTTCTTGCACAAGAAAGCCCGATGGTTAAAATAGCCATCAGAGCTTTCTTGCGCAAGAGAGCATCTACACTGGCAAGGATGCTCTTGTGCAAAAGCACATGCCGGTGTAGATGCTCTCTTACACAACTACTTTAATGCAAAAACTCTGGGGTAAAGAGTTTTTGTGCAAGATCACGCCTGTGTAAATGTAGCCTAGGCAAATCCTCAGCTGGTGCATCAGGTCAGTTTTAAATTCCTGTTGGCCCTCTGAAGTGGCCCAGAGCCAGGTCCAGACTGATAAAACATAACTCATCTGTGCTCAAGGCCAGGCAGCTAAAAATGGATGTGCTCTCCTCCTAAAACTGGTCCCCATTCTCTAGCTCTTAGGCACAGAAGTTCTTCTTCTTCATGCAAGGAACCCAGTGACCTCGGTGGGTCTACTCCCCTGGTGAGGGATGGCAGGATTATCACTTTTTACAAGTCACATACCACAAGGCGCAGAAGCCGGATTCAGCAGTGGCTTGACAATCTCACAGACCAGCTAAGGGTAGAGTTCAATTTAAATTTTTCTCACATGTCTCCAGACCCCCAGTCTAGCAAAGTACTTAAGAATGGCCCTAGGTCTTTATAGCCCCAGTGAAATGTAAACACAAAGATAAGCATGCGTGTAAGTATTTTGCTGGGCAGGGATGGATTTGAGCACATACCGGGGACACGTCTACACGATGGGGGAAGGTCGGGTTAAGGTATGCAATTCCAGCCACGCAAATAACGTAGCTGGAGTCAACGTACCCTAAGCCGAGCTGGGGCACCATCCTCACTGTGGGAGGTCGACGTGAGAGATGCTCCCATCAATTTCCCTTACTTGATGAGTACCGGCATCGATGTGGGTGCCCCGAGTATTAGATTTAGCATGTCCCCACTAGACCGGCTAAATCAGACACTGGAAGATCGACCGCCACAGCGTTGATCTTCCCAGGAATGTAGACAGGTCTTGCGTCGTCCCCTCAGTGTTGTGAAAGAAAGGAGGTATTTTCTGTAGGTGCTGATTTCTACTGCCTTGAAATTAATAGGGATCGCACCAGAGAAACTGGGAAGTGGTACTGTGGTTACTATGGTTCTAATAAACCCCGTTTGTACATTCCCAATGTTCCTGGTCAACAAGCGCTGCTGTTTATTCCTCCTCTGAGAGACGCTGGCTTGAAGGCAAACCCTGCTGCCCAATACAGAGATCCATGGCTCCCCTGGTTGGGGTGGTTTCACTGTTTGCTCTGCAGTTAGGAGCACCTCACGGACCATGGTACCAAATGCATCCTTTCAGGCTGAGCTTTTAAGCTGTACTTACCAAGCCTCCCACCAGCCCCCACAGGCTGGAAAAAAGAACACCTTCTTTTGAGCATTTGCCTCATAATCACATAGGTGCCAGAAACTAGATGGCACTTCTTTGACAGCACACGTTAGTCATGACAGGAATACGAAGTTTTGCAGGAGGAGAAGGGACTGCACAGAAAACGACATGGGGCAAAGACTCCGGGGGTTAATTTCTCTCTCATCAAAGGAGGAAGAGGAGTTAGTTGGTGCCTTTTAGAGATGTTAACACAGAAGTAGAGGGGGGAGCGCTTTGGGAGGGGTGGTGGGAAGTTTCAGAATAAGTCTAGCCAATTAGAACTCAGAATTTCACCAGCTGTTGGCGGCTGGAAGTTATTTACCTATGGGCCGGGTATCCAACTTGTCATCTACTAGTTGCTCAGGGCTCATCAGTTCACTTTGAGGGACATTAGGCATGCTTTCCCTTTGACTGACTGGACTGACCATCTCTTGATCTTTCTCATTCTGCATCTGTGCATAAACATTAATGCCCGGAATCTTCCTAAAACATTAACAGAAACCATCATTGCCGTGTACGCTACGGATCACGTCACGTCATCCTTTTTAGACCTGAGTCCGTAGACGACCAAGGGGGTGGGGGGGGGGGGGGTCGTACCTTTTGAACTTGTAAATTACAAAAACGGCTAATCCCACAAACACCACCGAGAGCAGCATCAGCATGGCCGAACCACTGTGACTGGGCGTGAGGTCCACCAGGGGAGCTACAAGAGAGGAGATCTTTAGAATATCTACAGAGCACGGACTGGAAATAACTCTACGCAGATATGGTGCGGCCACCCCGCCCCAGCTGTTTCTTTGTAGTGACACCTGTCTAATTATTGCTCCGTGGTGTCTCCAAGGTACATCCCCATTCGGTGTACGGATCACTTCCAAAAGGCAAGGGGCTCTGTGATGTGTAGGTATTCCTATGGCTTCCTGTAGAGTTCTGTTCCACCCTGAGGTACAGACCCACTCTACAAGGCCACTGATCGTCATGGGAAACATGAATGGTTGGAGAGGGATGTTTCAGCTGCATTTTATTGGAGTAAAAAAAATACTGCAGCCAGACTAATGCATGGGCATGGTGCTATGTGTGTTGTTATCTGGATGAAGCTGGGCATTGGATGCATTTGCCATGTCTGTCACTCATCACATGTAGGGGGGGTTTGATGCAGAAACGTAGGCATGGGCGACACTGTAAGGTATGCCCTTCACTGTCGTTAAGAGTGCTCACTACAAATATACCACATGCCAAGAGGAATGCCTGGCAGATCCCACTGTGCTGCTAACCAGGGACTTACAACAGATTTTGCTACTCAACCAGATTTTGAAGGGATTACCACTGACCTGCAGTTAAATGGGCAGCATGGACCAGGACACGAACACCAGGTTTCAACTCAAACTGGACAACATTTTGGTTCAGTTTGTGGATCAATATTTCTGAAATCTAGAAGAAACAGGGGGGAAAAGGTTAGTAAAGTCACTTTAGACAATTGCTGGCTATAAAATGGCGATTCCCAACATTTTTCATACCGAGGACCGGCAAACTCATTCAAACTCACTGGTGGACCGGCACTGAAATATTTTCATATTCATTATGATAATTAATTTGCATGTTTGCATATTCCATGTGGCAATTTTAAGGGATCACGTGTTATTTTGCAATACATCTATATGCACACAATACATGCAGAAGAGTTCTGGATTTCAACATTTTTGGAGAAGCCTTATTGTTATAAGATGAGAGAGCCAAACATTTGTAGTAGAATAGAAATATTCCTCCAGGTGGAATACTAATCATTTCACTCCTTAATGAAGATTCTTTGAGCTTCTAAGAGCTGCATGTGAGATAATGCACGATAACCACCCAGTCAAAGAGAAGCCAAGGTTTCCCACACAAAGCGCTGTAAAGAGTTAAAGATTTCCAAGTAATCCAGTTTGGGTAAAAAGTTGTCTGTGGTGATTCATATTAAGCAGCTTAAACCAGCACATTTGCTTCAATTTCACTTATTCATGTATGAATGTAAGTTCCAGCATTTCAGTATTTTTAAAGCAGGGAGGGAGGAGAACTGGATCGCAGTGGCAGCCACCCATCACATGCACTTGGCCTTGATGGTTGGGGCAGGTGCTCTCCACATGGAGCTTGTTCCCACCGGCCAGGGCAACCACGCTCCATGTGGCGCTTGGCCCCGCCAGCCAGGACAACTTCCCTTCACCAGGGGCTTGGTCCCTCCAGCTGGGGCAGCCACTCTCTGTGCGGCCCCGCCAGCCAATGGACTGGCAGTTGGGAACTGCTACTATAGTGGAAACAGGGCCCTCTACAAAGCAGAGATTTGACATAGGAAAAGTAAGTTCAAAATGTGAGTCATCAGGGACTTACTGTACAGTAGCTAGGTACAGCTAGCAAGGTGATATAGATGTTTATATGCTACTAGTAGCTACTGAGATTGACACGTTCCATGAGTAACTTTACTCACTGAGGTAGGCCTATTGACATCAAAGGCCGTGTCTTCACGCCACGGAAGATTGATGCTGCCATGATCAGTCTTCCAGCATTCATTTTTGTGAGTCTAGTTAAGACTCGCTAAATCGCACTCAGAGGATGCTCCATCAGTGGCCAGTACTCCTGTTCTGTTGAGGAGTAAGGGAAGCTGACGGGAGCATTTGCTTCCATTGGCCTCCTGCTGTGGTGATGCCACCAAGGTTGGCTTAAAGCAGTGGTCCCCAACCTTTTGGGGCTGCCAGGCAGTGCGGGGGCAGGGCCATACATGTGTTGCGCACCCGGGGCGGGGCTGCGCATGCGCCATGCATCCGGGGCGGAGGCCGCGCATGCGCCATGCACCCAGGGCTCAGGGCATAAGAATGGCTCAGGCCAGCCCTGGTCACTAGGCAGGTGTACATAAATGCCTTGGCGGGTGCCATGACTCCCGCAGGCACTGCGTTGGGGACCACTGGCTTAAAGTAAGCCGACTCCTGCTATGTAGAATACCCTCTTTGAAAAAACTTTGGACACCACTGCCTTAAGCCAAGCTGCTGGATTTAGTGTAGACCCTGGCTAAAGAGTCTACTCATTGAGTAACGGCACTCCTGTGCTTAAATGTTTGCAGTACCAAACCCAGAAGTAGCAAATGAATGCCCTGCAGTTTCAACACAAGCAATGCAGAAATAATCGAAGGCTAAAAATCATCAGGTCAAATATAATGGTCTGTGCTTTGCAGGAGATCAGACTAAGAGCATCACGATAGGCCCTTATAACATGAACATTTATGATGAACCCTCGTGTAATTCTGCTGAAGGCAATAGGGATCCGCATCACGATAGGCCCTTATAACATGAACATTTATGATGAACCCTTGTGTAATTCTGCTGAAGACAATGGGGATCGACCAGACACAGGTTCTACTCAATTCAGGGAACAGGGCAAAGAAGAGATGCTATTTCAGGATACGAGCACCACTTTGCTGGGATGGAGCCCAACCAGGATTAATGTCCGTAGAGCAGGAGAATCAGGCGTTGACCCAAATCTTTATTTAAAGATTCTGAAGAGTTTAGGGTCTAAATAGTGTGGCAAAGTCCTGGCTGTGTCCTGTGGTATTCGTGCTACTGGCAGATAATATTAGCTTCAGAGACTTGCTGTGGTACTATACACAAGCCCTTTCTCTTTACAGGAAGCAGGGTCCATAGCTTAGTGAGCCATACTCCTCACAGGCTAGTCCATAGTTTTTCCCTGGTCCACTTCCCCAAACCACCTTTTCAAAATGTCTCCCTCTGGTACCTGTTAACCAGCTCTCCGCTCCCACACAGTTTCTTCTTGTTCCTCCCTTTCTTCTTCTGGTCCATCACTCTTAGTCTTCCCCCTCTCCTTACCTAGGGGAGGCCTTTTAAAGCAACTCCACTAGCTGTAATTGGCTGCAGGTGTTGAGTGACTTGCCTGAGGGAGCAATCTAGTTGATTAACCCCAGGTGTTCTCCTGCCTTCATTTTATGGCAGCGGGCTCTAGCAGTTTACCCTGGGAAGAGAAAACCACTTATCCAGTGCCCTGTATACCTGCCTTCCCCCAGAGTGTGGCAGGCTGCTGGCTTAGGTCTGTCACAATAGACAGGGTAGAGAGAATGGCATTGTTATATACGTAAATAATGTACAGCATTTTCCACCAAGTTCTGTCTGGAGGCTTACAGCCTCAGTTTCTGTAGATACTTCATCCATCCTATGAGTTCCCAAGGTACAATTTTCCACTCTATCAACAAGACCAAGATGGGCGGAGGATGGAGCCCGGGGTAAGCAGAGAGGTGACTGGAAAACTTGAAAATAACCCAACATAGAGTGTTGGGTTTTGACATCCAAGTGAAGTTCAGGAACGGTGCTGCATTTGTGCTCACTATTGAATCTAATTTGGTTTAAATAAATCTTTCTACTTTTTCAAAGATGAATGGAAAATTGTCAGGGAGGCATACATGCTCATCATTTTTAGCCCATCTTTGTTGTGTTCCTTATTTTTCTCAAAGGAGGTTATTTCAATAATGCTTCAGAGATGTGATTAAGTGTTCCTCGACTGTCATTCATCAAGAGCTGAGATGCATCTTTGGCGGGTTTTTTTTTTAACATTCTTCATGATTTTTGTCAATACTGTTGGAGCCTACATTTCATTTTGGCCACTGCTCACTTGAATCAGTGCCCTTGGTCCAATATCAATTTGGCAACCACCAACAATGGGCTTTTTATTTAAAAAAAATACATCTCATTTTTGTTTTTTAAATCTTGTTAGTGGGACCAGAATGTGTTGTAAATATATTTCTATCAAGAGGAAGAATAAATTACATTAGCTAATAGAGATTCATCCACAGATGTGAGGGATATGATTGACTTGCTTAGCTCCAAACAGCATGCAAAGGAGATGTACTACAGGATGCAAATGAAGCACAGATTACACCTGTCTTGAAGCACTCAAGTAGACTTGCACTCAGAGGCTGGAAGCTACGAGGG